AAAAAAACAATCCACTGGTCTTTGTTTCCAAGTTTGAAGACGTTTTGCTTCCCATCCAGGAACTGGACATGTTGATCCGATTTATGCTTTAGCTGTATGAACATACAGCTAAAGCATAAACCTAAGGACATATGTAGTCTTCCATAGGAAATCAACAGAGCTATAACATCATTATCTAAGATTATTTTATTTTTTAAAGCCATAGCAATCTTTGTTTATATTAATATATGACTTGGAGGACATTGATAGCTGTATCCTTCATCATTATTCTGCCTTTTTCAAATAAAGAATCAGAAATACTATTCTGGAGTGACCTACTACCAAGCAGACGGAGAAATGGCCATGTGATTAATACTGTGTGAATAACTGGTTTCAATAGAATTATCAATTATTTTGAGAGGATGCTTTTTTTTTAGCTTTTTCAGTTTAGTGATATGAAAATATACATCCAGCGTTATTTTGACAAAAACTTTGTGTGTGAGCATCACAGGGGGTGGGGGTGAGACACTGTCTTTGAGGCCTCCTTGCGAGCTACATTTAATTCATAGCACGCGTTTTGGTATCCAAATCGATGCAGTGGCCAGCATTAAGCAAGGAACCCCCAGAGGCAATTGGCATGCATGGGAAGGAGGCTAATATTCCCAACGTTTTCATTCCATACTGCAATGGCGTGTGCATTTTCCACAGGCTGAGGACGAATGAGGGGCACAATGTAAAAAGAGAAAATTATTGTGGTAATGAGAGGGAGAGACTGAACAAAGAGACATTTCTGCAAAGGCAAGAACAGGAGGGTATAGATATTGGTTTAGAGGCAAAATGAAAAGAGATAAAATTGGGAAATTAGATACATAGCTGAGGTGTAGATAAGCTGAAAAACAGATAAAAAGAGATAAAGAAATGCCCGTGGGACATTTTTTTTGTTGCAGACACAAAAGCAAAACTAGAAGACAGAGTACATGAGATAAAAGAAGTGACACTTCACACTGAATTGTCTGCATTTGGAGTTTGTTTGATATCTGGATCCAAAAAAGTTCCACTAGATTCTTTAGAGATTGAGATATAAGAACTCTGGAGATCAGAGAACCAGCCTGCTTCTCTAACTCATCTTGATCTGCATTAATTACATCTGAGATACATTTTATTATTACAGTATCTCAAACTCTTCACCTTGTATTATAAACATGCCCTGTCTCAATAATAGATTTTTGTCAAAGAAATGTCCTTCACCAATAGTTGATGTTTTGTTCAGAAGGACATATTCTAACAATGAAAAAAAAACTTTCACTTAATATCTAAGTTATAAGTTATATGGCTGTGCTTTTGTAGCCAAGCTCTTCCAAAATACCTCTAAATTGTCCTGTCCTTGTCTACTAGGGCAGTAACCTCCCATTTGGTTGTAATAATCTCATAAAACGGATTTACAATCACTGTTTTAATATGTTTTTTGGACCGAGGCCCAGAAAATGATATAATTTGTAGGTTGTTTAGGTTGGTCTATTACATTAACATGGAAATGATCAGGAAAGACATATTAACTGTTGGCGGTCTGAGAAGACCAGCTGCCTTAAAATGTTCCCTGGACTTAAAGCACATTTAATAATGTGGATTCCACATGTCCCTATGGTTGATATTTGACAGAGTGCATTACTAATGTTTTCACACCTAATTTTTTCCCCTTCTATCCAATCATAGCTACAATGTTCAATATATGTATGGGGGGTCGGGATTGTGGAGCAACACATCAGTTTAACATAAACAGATGTGAAGTGAAGAGAAAATTAAACTTGCATGTAGTTTTCTCAGCAAATAATTTTATTTAATTTGCACAAAAAAAATCTTCAGCTTGATGTACTTTAAACTCTTGTAAAATGTAGCACCACCAACTACTTACACAAACCCTTTAGTTACTAAATAGACCCTATTTGTTTGGTGTAGCTGCAGATCTGGGTTCTTTTACATTAAATGCACAAAAACTAAAATTTGTTTAAAGACTATAAATAATTTTGTAAGGTACTATATCTGATTTCTGCTATTGATTTCTCCATTTTAACTGGCACGCCAGAGGATTGTTTACACTAAAAAGGGCCTTCCTTAGTTGAATAAACAAGTCTTTTTAAAGCTAACTAACCCATGAAATAAGAGAAAAAAAACCTAACGACGCAGAAAAGAAGACATAAAAAATGAGGCTTCACTGCTGAGATACTCTAGCTGCTCAATAACCAGGAGCAGGACATAGCCGATACTCAAAGTCCCAGCAGTGGGTAACCGTGCCAAGGTTAGAGCTTTTCCATTGCAGTGAGTTTAGCTCTATCCCAGATGGTCACTGATTATGTAAAGGATTATTGTCACAGATACTAATTATAAATACATGGTGTGTTTCAACACATGACACTGTGGGGTTGGGGCCACTATGTGAACCTGAACTTATATTTTCATTTAATGAACTCTGTGATTATGGTTACATTCAGTGGTAATTGAGAAATCCCCCGTGACTTCTTATTGATTTTTATTCTCTCATCGACTTAAGCTACTCAACTGAGTCATTGGTAGATTTACACTTTTACCAGGGTGGAGAATCAGTTAGTGTCATCTGAGGCACAGTGTGTAGGTCAAAGGTAGTGAGAGAAGGAAAACAGCCGAGTGGAATTATCTGTTAATTGAATGCCGGTTTGAATCACACAGATGGCTGGTTTGGCATTACCATGGAATAAGTTCATCTTCTAACGTCAGAGGATTTACTGTTTTGCAAAAGCACCGAAAATAATTTTGTGATTATTCTAAAACCGTAATGACTTACCTAACTACAGAAGAGAAGCACATGTATGACAAGAGTGGATTTATAGAATGTGACAGAGTAAATAAGCTAGTTCTATTTGTTTATCCTCTGCGGCCATGAATCAATGAGCACAGAAGCAGAGAAATGCAACAACAGGATATTTGTGTTATTGATTTTTTTAATAGAGTGTATAAAGTTAATTACATTTGCCTGGAATAAAGTACAAGCAAAATTATCAACATAGAATTCATTTGAGTGGGCCACACACCCATGTTCTAATTCTATTTTATAATGTAAATTCACATAAAGATATATAATCTAATATTTTGCACATTAACACTGCAGCATGTTTCTGTCAGGGTTGGTGGATGTTGTTGTTGAATTAAGTGCAGAATAAAGGAAACATAGATAGTTTTTGCTGAACTGAACAGTACAATAACATGCATCCAGAAATAACAGGCTGGTAACTCAGAAACCAAAAATAAAAGAACTTGGAATAAACATACAAGAATAAACAAAGAAAAGAAGAGGATCCAGCAGTTAGCTACTGCAAAGGTGGTGTATATAAATGGGGGACAGAACAAAGAATGGGCTAATTAGCTGATGTGGAGCAGGTGTGGATAAAAGTAACTAGAAGGGAGCTAGGGGAAAGGAGACGGGCACAAAGAGGGCAACAGACAGTAATTCAAAAAATAACACTGCTTAAATATAACACAAAATAGAAACGAAACCAATGACCAACAAAACAGAATGACATAAATAACTGAAAACTCAAAAAATAATTTTGACAGAAGTCAACAAAGAGCAGAATCATGACAGTTTCTGCAAAATTCAACTTAGTAACAAACAAATCTGTTTTTTTGGAAATCTACATAGATAAGTTTGTGAAATGTTTGCATGAATGTGATTCTCATGAGACAAATGCATTGTTATGAAATGTGTATATTACCTTTCTGCCTTCAGCCCTCTAGAGTTCAAACCTGCTCTGAATTGTTGTATATCTAATTAACCTGAAGTTATTTACTATTTTTTAAAAAACTTTTTCTTAATTTGCATCCTTTACCCTGCCTATTCCTCTCCTTCATGGCCACGATTCTCCTTTTTTCTGATGAATCTCTTCTCCAGCACCTGAACAAAGTGAATGGCTCATTACCAGACCTCTGCAGAAGTGGGTGGCATGCTAATAGGAGAATTAACTCATATGATATTTGCTGTGATAGAGTTACAACATAACATCCTAATCTTTGGTTCCTGGTGTTCAAAGATACACACTAAACCGGGCAAACACTGTATGATTTTTTTGCTCTTTTTGGGCCGATTCTCCAATCGTGGAAGAATTTTTTGATTGGGCCGACTATCAGCCTCGTCGTGCGTCATGTAGTTTACAGGGGGAAATGGGGGATGATCACCTCTCACAACAACTTCCTGATCAGCAATCGTAAGGTCATGAGAAAATCAAATGTTTGAAATTGAGTCGGCCGTCGTAAGATCGCACCAGTGCATCGGGCCGCACATTGTGAGAACTTGCATTGTGAGCTGTGAACTTTTAAACCCTAAGGTTTCATTGTACAGATTGAGCTGCAGCTGTGTACAATGATTGAAAATATCACACAGTGTATGCACGACTTAATACTAAATACTAAGCTCCAGCTACAGATATATACCATCCCAGAATGTTATTGTGTAATCATTATAGGTTTTGCTTTCCACACTCATGCTCATGTAAATACTTTGGTATATTTCGGTTCAGTAATGGAGCAGTTCACTACATTGGTATAACTTTTGCCTGTATTTTATTTCTGGAAGGCCGTGGAAGCAGTTTGTTGTGTTTTAACATCCATATGACTGAAGGCTGGAGTTGGACACCCTGGTTCCGTAGTCTCCGACTCCAGGTCTCAAGATCTTCCATGCTGCAACCTTTAGGTACACTCCTGCTCCAACACAGCTTAATAAAACGATTCAGTAGGGCATATTCATGTTTGTTAGAGACCTGACAATCAGCCTCTTATTTGATTCTGGTTTGTTGGAGCAGGGATGTATCTGAAAGTTGCAGTTGTTCTCCAAGTCTTTCTTTTTCTGTGTCCATATATCACAAATCTTTTTTTCCACTAACCTTAAATCAAATTAGAACAATTCAACACAGGTCTAGTCAAGTGATAAATCATCATAAAATGCGGATCTCCACTTAGGGACTGGAGCTTGAGACCTGCACCATTTTATTCTCTTTGGGTGTCAGTTTTACTATGCAAAGATCAAATTGGTCACAATAATTAAGTCAAACTAAAAATGATCACACCTCCATATCTTAGCCATTTCTATTTCTGGCTTGTCTTGCCCTTTTATTTTCTTCCACACTCTTAATTTCTTATTTATTTTTTGTCATATTAATTAATATATTTGGTGAGAGCTATAAATTTGAAAAATACATGAATGGAAAGTATTGTAGAAATGATTATATATATCCTAATTATTGCATTAGAACACCAAAAGATGTATACGTTTAGTAAACTTATGTATGATTATAGGAGTAAAGCTTATTGAAAGAGCAAACAATAAGGTAAACGTGTCGTCCAAACCCAGACAAATCTCCCTGAAATGTATACATATTAATAAAACTTCAACTGCAATATATATTATGCAGTCCAGACTCATTGTCAGCTATCATCAAACGTGGCTCCGCTCCTCCAGAATCATCTTCATGTTCCTTTCATCCTTATTTGTGCTTGGTTGCCTCTGTCCCTCAAAGATGGCCATGTTGCACAGCGTCAGAATGGGCTTACCAGGGGAAACTTGCCGCAGGTCTTTAGATGGTGAGATCATGTTTTTTGGATCCTTATAGTCAGAATAGAAATGTCATTGATTTGTTGTATAAACTGTTTAATTACCAAAATGTATTTCAAGATTCTATATGTTTATCTATATTTTCAAAAATTGTACCTTAAAAAAAGAAAGGTTTGACTTTACTCACCCTGTACAGAGAGACGAAAATAAATGCTGGAATGCACATCAGTGGGATGGCAATAAGTAGGCTAGCTATTGCAGAGACAGCTGGTCCTGGTAATTCACCATTCAAACTGATTGGGTTTTCTTTTGACAGGTTATACAGCATTGTAATCTAGGATTTAAGAGTAGTTACAAATGTTAGATAAGGATTTGTCTTGACTGGAGAAAAAGCAGAGATTGTCAGTGGAGGGCAGTGAGACATTATAGAAACATTATGTTTAAAACTCCTAAAATTTACTTGGTTGCTATTAATTTCTTTCCTTCTGGTCATACATTGTTAATGATTAAACATTAAGGCAAAATATCATGTATGATATGTAGTGAAATGTGCGTAAAAACAATGCAACCATTGCTGTATGCATGCAGTTAATAACTATCAAGACACAAGCTCCTCCATGAGGCACTCAGGAGCACTGCTTGTAAAATAGGAGATGGCTGTGAAAAGATGACACAATAATTGAGTCATCCCGTATAAAACATTTCCGAAAAAATAACCAGTTTATTTTAACACCCCCCCCCCCCTTCCCAAAAAATTTTTTTTCTGTTTATCAGATAGTTTTAGTTAGTTTTCTGTTGCTTCTGTTTCTGATATGAATTTTAAATGTTCTTCTTATATCCTTTTATATTGCAATTGTACAATAAATTTTAATGCATTGCTCGCTTTACTTTAATTACTACTAATATATCAAACTATTGTTTTTGCATGGTATAAAGATCCTTTTTAGAAACTGGTAAAAAAAAACACATTTAGGAAAACAATCTAAAATCTTTAAAACGGTTTAACTTTAAAATGTTTTTTTAGCACCTAAGCACAGAATGGAAATGAATACTCCGTTAGAAATAACATTATGAAAGAAAATAAATGCAAGATGGTTTAAAAATAGAAATAAACAAATAACAGTGAGGATGTTGCAAAGATTAAAACTCACCACACAGATGAGGGGGGTAACAAACATCCAGCAGTACTTTAAAACAGGGGTTGGTCTATAACCAATCATGTCCTCAATGTTATCATAGAAGCGATCTGCACCTACAATTTGGAGGATAAAAGGTGGATCAGCTTCTTTGTAACTCCAGAATTATGCAATACCACCAATTTTAAATGAAGTGCAGAATATAGTAAATAAACAATGGAAACTAAATTGTAATCATGGTTCTTATATCTAAAGACATGGAAAATTACACATCCACTTATTTCAAGTATGGAGCAATATTCAAATCAAAATGAGGAGAAATGCCCTGTGGAGAAATAGAAACTATGTACAAATCATAAAGGAATGAGGATGGGGAAAATGTGAGGGTGTAATGAGAGTTGTTCACCTTAAGCTGCCATAGAGTGAAGTACACATTAAAAACAGGATGAAAACTGATATTAGAAATCTTCTAAATAAAACAACATCCATATATTGTTTGCTGCGAACAGCAGAAAAAGTTAGCTCTCGATAAATCAACCCAGAAACATCCCATCTCTACAGTGGAAGAAACTGAGGTTTCTCATTTAGATTTAGATGAGAGAATGTCTCTGCACAAACAGAAAAGAAAAGGGCTTAATAACTCAAACTGGGAGGAGAAAGCTGCCGTAGAATCTGATCGATTTCTCACTCTGCATCAGTTTGCAGTTTGCAGTTTCCATAGAGGATGTTATTTTTCAAATAAAACGGCACTTTCCTGGTTTGCAGAATGAGGTTTTTAGGAGAGGAATATATCAGTTGCGGCATAGCTCCAGATCTCTAACAGAAAGGCATTTAGACAGATGATCTCAGAAATGAGAGGTGGAAATTCTAAGATTAGCAAACTTCCATTGAACCAGAAGAGCTGCTGATAAGAAAGGTATAAGTGCTGTAAAATATACAATTCTACAAAGGTGATATTTTTCTCATTTGTAATAATTTATCATTTTTTGATACATTATTCATATAAAATAATAAAAGCTGAAATACATGTAAAAGTGGGCTGAAGAGATGGATGGATACATGTTAAGCAACCACAGTTGCTCTGATTTAGTACGTTCCTGACATGACTAAACATTTAAAAGTGACTTAATGGAAAACAGAAGCTGCAGCTGCTGGGTTGAGACCAGTAGGGGGAGCAGTCATCCTGCTGATTAAAAGATCATCTTTACAAACTTGGTACTATATTTTTTATAATAATCAATGTTACAAAAAATAAGCTTATTCTTCAATAACTGCAAGGGAACCTAGAACAAACTGATTTGACCCCAAAAAAATATATATATTCAAAAAGGTCTACAAGAAATGTTTCAATGAAAGCTGTGTGATAAATGTACACTAAGCTACTTTGTCCGACATTCTCTTTGTATTATTTCTTTTTTTTGTTTTTGTTTTTCTCCTATTCTAACCACATTGCATCAAAGACCACACTTCAGTTGCAGATTATATGATAAATTGCAGTTTTTTCTTTAGGAAGTATGCTCACATTTAGGATCTAAGTCTTAAAACAATGTAGTTTTTGTTTTTTTCAAGGGTTAAATATCAAGACAAGTCAGTTGGTTGAATTGGAAATATAAATGCCTGGGCCCTTACATAATTAGAAGGGTGCTAAATAATGGATGAAGGCAAACTTAAAGTGCTAAGTCAGTGTGCTCCTTAATTTTTTGTTAATTGGGATCACTTCCTGATGACCCTCTTAATATAGTTACCACAAAAATACTAACTTACTCTGCTTCCTTACAGCTTGCCTTTTATAACGTATATAGCATATTTTGTATTTTATTGTTATGCGAAATGGAATTTTTAATTGTTAAAGACAAAAAGAATTTTGAAGCCATTATTTAACTAAATCAAATTAATTGAACCACAAATCTTGTTGACTTGATATGACAATAATTTTCTGCTATGACTAATCAGTAGAATACATTTAAATCAAACAGCTAAAGTTACAAATTGAAATATCTCAAATGAGATCATATTTGGAGTGAACTAACATACTGTGCAAAGACATAAAGAGCAGCTGTAGTTATTTTCCATTAATTCACAAATAAATCAAGCATTATGCAATGTGCAAGTTAGAAAATTACCATAAATCCAGGAAACAACAATAGTCTCTGCACAAGCAATGATGAGGAGGCTGGTTCCACTTGGACCAAAGGTGTCAACAAGCTGAAAGAGATGCACCCCTCCCTGAAAAATGGCATCAAAGCATTAAAAAAGATGGAGACGTTAAAATGAAAATGCATTTCCTTCTTACTCAGCTATGAAAAAAAAACACTCCATTGGAAAAATAGTGTTGATGAATTCAGCTCACCTCTGTGACAAACATCAGCCCCAACAGGAAGCAAATAACCGCGATGACCAGGACAAGGAGCTCCCTGGCACCAGGTCTCCTCAAACGACTTGGAAACAGGTCTGTGATGGCTGTGGCCAAGCTCTCAATGCACACAAACTGTGATGACAGAGTTATATTTCCATATTTATAGTGATAATAGTAGTGTGCATCACCCAATCGAATGAATTCAATACCTGGCTATCAAGACCAAGAAATAGAACCATCAGAAAGAAAAGCACGGCCCAGAAGGATGAACCAGGGAGTAACGACAAAGCTTTGGGATAGACGATGAAAGCCAGACCAGGACCTGAAGGGAACAAGGCAGAAAATTGAATCCCTTAAATAATGTTCGAACTTCATGTTAGCAAAGGATGCCATCTTGTGGAGCTCATGCTTTCTGTCAACATTAGGAAAATCAAACTTTAAAACTAAAAACAAACAAAAAAGGGTTTGTAAAGTTCAGGTAAAGGAAGTCTCACCACTGGCAGTAACTTCGCTTATGGGAATGTTCAGGTCATGAGCCATGAAACCAATGACTGAAAAGACGGCGAAGCCAGCAAAGATACTGGTTGCACTATTTAGACAGCACAGTGCCAAACAATCCCTGAAACAGAGCCAGAAATTAGACGAGCACAAAGTAAATGAGTTTTAAGTTCTATTTCCAGTACATCTAATGATACTAACCTGTAACAGTTGTTGTTGTACTTGTTATAGCTTCCCAGGGCTGTTAGGACTCCTTGACACACAGCGTAGGAAAAGAACACCTGAGTTCCTGCATCACGCCACACCTGGAGGGGTGATAGCAGAACAGTTTCAACATTTCAAGGGTCTTGCTGACATTTCCTTTCTTGAGAAATGTAAAATGAATAAATCTTTAGAAGCCATTTACACCTTTTGTCACGTTACACCCGGTGTGTATTACTGGGATTTTATGTTATGGACTAACTCAGATTAATAGTGAGTTCATAGTGAAATAGAAAAAAATGACAAACTTTTTTCAAGTTATTTTAGAAATAAAAATCTATGTTATGTCTTGGTTCGGGACAAATTTGTCATTTACTCTGTTATTTTTCTTGTTTTCTTATCTTTATGCAGTCTCTATCCCTGAGATGATGGGGACCAAATACACCATCACTATGGTGAAGCAAAACTGTAGCAGCATCATCCATCCATCCATCCATCCATCCATCCATCCATCCATCCATCCATCCATCCATCCATCCATCCATCCATCCATCCATCCATCCATCCATCCATCCATCCATCCATCCATCCATCTTCTTCTGCTAGCAGCATCATGCTTTGGTCTTTTCTTTATAATGGGCTAATGTAACTGGATTGATGAAACTAATTTAAAAGTACTACTGAAAAATAACAATAATAATAAAAAAAAAAACATCCCAGCAGATTCTAGAGCAAGTAATGCAATAAGAGGTTCTCCTTCTCCTTCAAGCAGGAAAATTACCAAAATTGTAAAACCAAAGCTAAAATGGGAGAGTTTAAAATAACATGATTTAGATTTAAAAAATTTAAAACAGAAGTTTGAAAGAACATGTAAAGATACCATCCCCCAATTTCACTTTTAGCCATTTCACAAAGATAAATAGGTAAGACACACATTGAAGTTAATGAATATAATGTTAAAAATTATTTAAAAAGTTAGAAGAAGTGTTAAAGTCTTGCAATGGCTCTGTAGAAGTAAAAGAGCATTTCTTTCCTGATGGTGACCAGATTTGTTTACATACTTGTCTGTTTGCACTGTCCAGGCCTGACAGCATCTGGTTAACATATGCAACCCAAAAGCTGTTGCATATTTAGCTATGGAACTGGCAAGTATCCAAAGCAACATGCAGACCCTTCCTGAGGCCTTCGTGATGAGCTAGATTATTTTCTTGCTTCAGGTCATAATGGGATTCTAAAAACTGTGTTAAAGGTTCCTGACATTTTCTGCTGCATAAAGCAATGGCTGTTTTGTCTTAAATCAAAGCCCAGTTTTCAACTGTATCTGCTTCCTCTCTTTACAGATTCACACAGGCACTGTGACAAGACACACATTCTCCCATTGAGCACATGCCAGATGCAGACCAAGGCTCAATCACCATTCTGATGCAATTCAAGCAAAAACAGATGCTTGCGTGATAAAGTCAGGCTCAGAAGGCCGTGAGCATCTGGCATTGCATAAGGGTGCTCAGTAACACAGAACTTTTGCCTTCTTTTTTAATGCACCTACACTTTACTTTTCCAAAATTGCCAGATTCTGAAAACAGGTCCAAGCTGTACATTTGTCAGATCTTAGCAAACAAAAACTAAATGAAACAAGAGGAGCAATAAACATCCCTGCAAACACACGCCCTAAAAAAAAATGAACATGAATATTAAGATAATATTTAACTGTATTTCTAAAGACAGACTTGTCAATATTAATTGAAATGCAAAATGTTTTGTTTTTTCATGAGCAGGATGTTCCCGTCTTCATGAATATTTCTCATTATGAGTGACGTTATGTATGTTGACCAAACAAAACCTACTCCTCAGTCACATTTGATGGTGCAAACTTTAATGGTTACATTCTTTGCAAGCTCCTAGGTATTAGAAAAAAGACTGATGTTTGTATATAGTCTTGTATATAGTCTTGTATTTGCATATATTGTCTTGAATTTCAACAGATTCACTACTAACACCCTTAGTAGTTCATTCCTAAGTAGCTTATGAACTTTCTCAATAAATCGGTGATAAATTGTAATTTGAGTTTATACATTATTTGTTCAGCGGAGAACAACATCATGAGATAAAACTACAGACATAAAAGGGAATATTACCTCTCTGCCTGTACTTACAGCTCCATCTCAATGAATCCCGATCTGATTAAAAAGTTATTTTATTTCAACAACTTAACTTAAAAGGTGAAACTTGTAAATGTTATATAGATTTAGAATAAAGTGATTATTGATTATTATTTTAATGTGTGGATTAAAAAATTAAAACGTATTATAAATAAATATATCATGTTCTACATATTCATAGACAGGATTGCATACTTCACAGTAGACAATCAATGGAAGGATACAAAGGGTAAGCCAGAAAGGCTACTGCTAAATACGCTGCTTGTTCCCAGACTGCTGCCTCCAGGCATATAACATTATTGTGGCCAGATACCACAGACCACATTGATGTAGTCTAAAATCCTGCCTGAGTATTGAGTACAACTCACAGAGTTCTGCCTCTAGGGACATTAAAGAGCTTACTATATGTCATTGATTATAATGCTCTACTGTATGGTCATATACTTTTATCTGATAAAAGACTAAATGCAGTCTATTATGCTTGTCTACGGTCAACTGGTCAACTTGTCAAGGTTGTTACATAATTGGGTGGACATCATTTTTACTCCATTTGCACCCTCAAAGGTTGCTTTTAAATGTTCCCCAGGTTTCAACTGTCTGTAAACATAACATGACTCTCCTATCATGCATTTTGATCACAAATCTCTGAACTTACAAGCATTCATATATAGGATGGATATTAAGACTATCATAAAGGATGCAGCAAAGATGAAATATTTTTGTTTTTGTGGACAGTTAACCCGTTTGTTCACCCGTTTGTTGTATTTTTTTTTTTTTTTATGGTTTATGTTTTTCCACTTGTTTTTTCTGAGCTTCAAGTAAAGCAACCTGGACTTTTTTTTTAACACATCAGTAGAGCCATTACATGTTAATAAAGTATAAAAAAGGTCTGCCTTTGCAGTAAATGCTCAAACCATCATTCCTCTTTAGAAATTTTCACAAGTTGTAATGTTCTCACAAACTGCTTTCTGGGGATTTAATTAGCTGTAAGCAGTGATCATGATTTTTGGTCATACATTGATGTATTATGTGCCTGATATTTATTTTCAACCTTTGTTCTTTCAGCTACATATATAACCCGACATGTCAGAGTTGGGTTGTAAAGAGTGGTAGAAGCTGGAGTTAGAGGGCGGGGGGGTAGGTCTAATCCTTAAAACATATGTTCAAACTTTCAAAAGGAAAACTGTGTTTTTGCTCCAGAGTTAATGGTGCTGCATAAATCTTCAAACTTCTAAGTGAAGATGATGTTTATTTTCCCTTCTTTGCTGAAACTGGAAACAAAAAAAAGGAGCAGTCACAGAGAATAAGAAGATTTTGAGTTATCCTTTTAACTGAGGGGAATCTAACAAAGAGACATGTGTTCAGAACAGGACAGGACAGCGTGGGATCACTAAGCATCTTTTAGTTTCCGTTTGGAGTTCTGCCTCAGAGACAAATACACATTGTTATAGGAGCAGCTATTTAGTGGGGGGGTCATTTCTTACATCTGGTTCAGCAAGCTTACTGAAGTTGGGTTGGAGGTAATACTTGAGACCCTCTCCTGCTCCTGGAAGTGTCACTCCACGAATAAAGAGGATGAACAGCATTAGGTAAGGGAATGTAGCAGTGAAGTACACAACCTGTAAAAAAAAAAAAAAAAGAAAGTTAACTGTGTTTCAGGCATATGAGCAAAAAGGCATATGTCAGAGTTTAAAATTAAATGGGTTGATTGGTTCAGGAAGAAATAAAGGAGCCGTGCCTATTAGACTAGTTTAAAAGTTTTGAACAACTTACAATATGGCAAACATAAGGATAGGACTAAACGTTTTTGCCTTACACCCACAGAGCTATATGTTACTAAACTTCACCGGGACTTTAATTAGAAACATGTGTTCTTGGAAACATGAGACGAGTTATTTTGGAAGCCAACACTCCAAATAGGTTTTGTGTAAATACTGAAGGTTGTAAAGCACCTAGTCCCCAAGGAAAATCAGGAAAATCAAGTTGGAAGATCTGGGATTGGTAACTCCTTGTTAATAATAACCAAAATCATTTGTAATCTGTTTTATTTGAAATGCTTCTTTAAATATCAATTTTTTTTTGAGAGAGAGAAGTGATCAATTTCCTTTGTACGTACAGTCAAAAAAACCAACTGTTTTCCTTTTTATTGTAAATCAGAAGTTTGATAAAACCTTGGATTGACAGGGATCTTTTGAATTATGTTCAGTATAAAAAATAGGGAGTTATTACTGTAGGTTTAATCAAAGAGATACTTGATATAAAATAACAGCTTTATAGAATAATGATTTAACGAGCTGATGTTTACAAGAAGAACCTGATCAAATCCAAAGGTAGTTTTTTACCTTTCCTGTGGTTTTGATTCCCTTCCAGATGCAGAAGTAACATATAACCCAGGCGAAAAGGAGACACAAAGCCAGGTCCCAGTGCACTTTACCCAAGAACATTTCATCTGACTTTCTCAACACTCGGTATCTGTGTGGATGAGATGAGCACAGAACAGCCATTTTATCCATATAAAGTTTTCACGACTATAAAATATATCTCCAAACATATCATTGTGGTTACTTCTGTGTAAATCATGTCCAGTTTATTGAGCATTACTTCAGTTTGTGCAGTAAACCCAGAGGGGGTTCGGAAAAAAAAAACATGTTTTTCCCATTGCAGCCAAAATATTTCCTAATACAAGTCCTTACAGCAGATCAGATGTTGATCATGTGAAGAGCAGCATCTGCATGTCCAAGGATTAAAAAACAAAAATAAATAAAAAGCAAACGACAGTTAATCCAAAGTTTGGAGCTAAAGATTCTTTCTTGCATTTACTGAGGAATGCAAGTAGTTTTTTTTTTTCTCCTTTTGATGACTTTCTTTCACCTTTTGGCTTATCACTGGAATACTGCATAGGGAGACTTGAGTTCACCGCTTAATTTGTGGGAAGCATTCAAAGCTGTTGCTGAGGAATGTCTGATCCAAAAAATATTTCAAAACATGGATAATGATGCCAGCATGGTTTTTATCACAGTTTAAATGTTAGAAATAGCTGGCAGTAGTTCACAAGGCAAGATGGTTCTACTAAGAATAACAGATTTATTTTAAATAGTTAAGTAAGTGTAAGTATTTATGTAAGTAACTATGTAAGTAACTATGATGTAAACAAGAAACATAAGGGAGTTATTGCTTGAATGGTTTTTACTGCATTTCACTGTAACTCCACTCTTGTCACCTTTTGATATTACCTAAAGGGGCCTTGCTACTTGAAAAAAAGATCAGTATCTAAAAAAAAATCACTTATAGCATAACTGCTCTGGCATATGTCAATCTATTACATTATTTTATGTAAAAGATATTAACTTTTAGGATAGGCACACACACATCTTGTGTTTCCATGTCTTATGGCGACTTTTGACTTTCATTCAGATTCTACTGTAACCTTAACTAATTTCACACCTTAGTGGTGTGAAATTAGTTTTGTTGGCCACTACTTACGTCCAGAACTCTTCCTCTGGTGAGTTAATTATGAGGAGAGTAGAATTGCTGGAAAAGCAAAAACATAATTAATAATGTAACCCAAATTAAATTTTCTCATGAATATCCATCAATCCATCCATCCATCCATCCATCCATCCATCCATCCATCCATCCATCCATCCATCCATCCATCCATCCATCCATCCATCTGGGTCGCGGTGAGGCTGTTGCCTATCTCCAGCAGTCTATGGGTGAAACGCAGCGTGCACCCTGGGCAGGTTGCCTGTCCATCACAGGGCAACACAGAGATATGCATCCAGGAGCAAACACCAGAGGACAAATTAGAGGTGCAAATTAACCTAACGCTCATGTTTTTGTTTTTTTTTTGTTTTTTTTGGATTGTGGGTGGAAGCTTTAGTACCTGGAGAGTACCCAAGCATGCAGGAGAAGATGCAAACTTCATGCAAAAAGACAGCGGGCGACGACCTGAACCTAGACCTTGCTGCAAGGCAATAGTGCTATAAACTGCACCACTGTGCAGCCCTTCTAATGAATATGATTAGCTAAATACTGCAGTGTAACATAGATTAAAGAAGTGTTGTTTTATAGTAGCACTGTCTAGAATACCAAGACTTTTCTTCAGAAACTTAGAGTCAGATTTGCTGATACTATCAAGACTGTTCACATGCAGGCAGATTTACAATGCTGTGATTTGGTAGTCACAGTGGAGACATGGAAAAAGAAGATTTAGGTGTTTCTTTTTATATGTTTGTGTGAGTGTGTGTTCTTGTACTTAATGTAAAGTGAGGGAATTCTTTCCTGCATTTTACTAGAAATGTGGGGACTTTTATGTAAAGTGGGGACCTTCTACTAGTTCTCCCTTTGCTGGCTTAGTTTTAGGCCCAAGTTCTGATTTATGTTTAGGTTTAAGTTTAGTTTAAGGTTGCGGCGAGGTATGTAACAGTACTGGTTAGGTGCAGGACTGTCATGGTTAGGCTGTAGAATGGGTGGAAAGTGAATGGAAGTCAATGGTCAGCGTATGCAACGTCCTCACTTTGAATTTAAAACACAGATGTGTATGAGGGACCATTCATTTTATTAATAATTGAACTTCATTGATCTTACATTGGAGAAATTCACCTCTGCATTTAACCCATCCCCTTTGGGAGCAGTGGGCTGCCATCGTGGGGCGGCCAGGGAGCAATCATGGCTCAAAGGGTCTTGCTCAGAGACCCAGAGTGGTAGTCTGTGGCAGTGGGTTTTGAACTCACAACCTCAGGATTCCAAGCTTAATGCCATAACCTCTAGGCCGCCACTGCCCAGTGGGGAGGATTTCCCAGGAATATGCAACATTTTCAGGACTTACTGGTACTTATGGCGACCAACGACTCGTCCTCATGAGGATAAGCTCTGTTGTTGGTGTGGAAGTTTGGTTTTGGACTAAGGTGTGAAATGAATTTAGGTTAAATTTAGGGTTAGGTATGTGTTGGTTATGGTTAGGCTTAGAGCAAGGGTGTGGGTTAGCCTTAGAAATGAATGCAACATGAATGGAAGAAAGTTCCTACAAGGATTTCACAAAACGTGTGTGGAAACGCTAATTAAACTATGCAGTCCTACATAGAAGTTTAAAAGTTTGCTTGAGTAGTCAAACGTCTTTGATAACCGCGACATAGCTTCATATAGAGATTTCCACAGAATCACAATTGCCTGCTGTGAGTTTTGAGAAGTTTATAACCATATTGCACCACAACTGAAAATGTTCCCAAGAGGTAGACCAACCCATGCATTACCTTCTAATTCCCTAAATGTTCCAAAAACTGATACCCTGACGAGAATATCACTAACAAATTACGTCAGAGAACTACTTCTGAGGGAGACAGCTCATTTTTCTTGACAACACTGATGGCTTTCTGGTTGAAGCAGAAAAAAATATGGATGTAAAGATCATTCAAACCACATCAGTGCAAGCCGCCACTGTTGATGCCTGAGGCTTTTTACTGTTCTGATGTCTCCTCTTTGAATGAATAGAACATTTTGTCAAGACAGTTGAGCAGTTATACTCAGAATCTTGTGACAGTGATTGAACATTTTCATTATTCAGTGTTGCAATCGTTGTAGAGTAAATGCAAAGTATTGGCGAATGGGGAAACATTCAGTCAGTAAGTAAAGTTGTCTGCAGGCTATTACTTACCTCCAGAACTCCTCTTCTGGTGAGTTCACTAACACGGGCGAAGTACTTCTAAAAAAAACAAAAACATGAATAACTGTAAAAGATAACCCAATTGACATTTTCTCATTAAATATGATTTCCCCAATGCTGTTATCTAACACGGGCTAAAACATGTTTCATGTAGTGTTGTCTTACAATTTAAGCCCATCTTCACAATGGATTAAGACTGCCCTACAGTCTGCAGGACCGTTCAAGTATGCCCTGACCCTGACCATTTTTATTTCCATATCTACCACAAGGTCTTAGATAACAAGGCTTTTCTGCACTGGAAACTGGAGTCAGATTAGCTGATGCTATTTAGACTGTTCTGGCTTATTAACATTTTTTCAAAGTGGTGATCATAGTATGATTCGAGGGTAAAAGAAGATTGAGATATTTTTTTTTTCTTATTCATCTTTATGAGGATACAGTGCAAATAAGTAGCCCGACTCAAAATATCTGACCACTATTTCCTCATATTCAAGGAATTATGACTAACAAAGAAGCCTCTCCTCCAATTTAACAATAATACTGAAGTTATTTGTTTATATTTTAGATTAAGGGGAAAGAGAAACTAGACCTTACTTATGGGCACCATGATTTCAAAGAAAAAGTAAAATAGCGGCCTGATGTCATCGACTAATCATTGATTAAACTTTTTATCACATTTTGTGCACTTCTAGCCTCCCTTGTGGATTAAATTTTGAGATTTAACAGGAATTAATTGTAAAAAGAAAAAGAAAATCAGTTTTTTTCACTGATATAGTAATGAAAGAGTGCCATATGCAGTTTAAGTCAAAAGATTATAACTAATAGAATTTGACCACTTTGTCAAGCTTTTATTGAAAAATATACCATGTATTGTTTTTTTCAGAACTATAAAACGAATCCTTGCAATTCCAAATTTCAGTTTGTAACAATAACATCCTTAAAAAGATAGGTGTAGTCCCTACATAGCAACACCTCGCTTATTCCATAATTTCGTTCTCAAATACCTGCTTTACTGTCATCATCACAACCATCATTAAGAATTCTTACACATAACTTTAAAGACTCTTGATTCTCCAGATAATTAAAAGGTTAATTACTTACAGATTTATGTCGCTGTCATAAGTATAATGGGAGTTGTTGTATAGAAATGACCAGTTGGATCCTCTATTAAAAAGGTCAGGATTGGCAAAATAGCCAGCTCGACTAAAACATGAATCTGTTGAGTAAAAGAATTTATGGTTACTTCAAGAAAAAATAAGGGTACCTGCCTCCACGGCCCAATTCATACACTAAAAAAAAGGAAACATATAATTTCCTTACCAGTGTTCCACCAGTTCTCACATGTAGACCAAGGAAGGGGACTCTTGAAGGCATTTATTAAGTAGAAAATAGCCCAGGCCAAAACCACAATGTAATAGATGTTCAAGTAGATTACAATCACCTGGGATGCAATCCCCACCCCTGCAAGGGAAAGGGAGATTTTTTTCATGCAGTAGGAGAATGTTTCTTCCAGCTGTCCTACAGTTTGATCTCAAGTGTGCTGGTCTAATTGACAAGAGTTACTCTGGTTGTTTTGTATTTCAAGATGACAATGCAAAGTGATAAGAATTAGTTATGAATAAGAAATGACTATCACTCTTTATGAAATGTCTGCTAACAATGCATTGCATTATAAAGTTTCCAAGATCTCAGTGTAATTCATTTAAACATTATGTTATGGGTGAACATAACTAACACATAACTTGCAGACTAAATGTTCAATTTTATCCTCATTTCACTGCAGCATCTTCTTTTACATTTTTAATTGGTCATATTTATTGTTCTGCTTGAAAATGAAACACAAGTTTGCACTGCACTTTGACATGATAATAAAAGGCTTCCAAGATTGTGTGTGGAATGTTACACAATGTGTGTGTTTTTTTTTAAGAATATTAACTCTATGCAACTCTCTGTATCTTTTTGTTTTGCTCTTTCAGAGTTTGACAGTTATCACATGGCAGCAGATAGCACTGAAGGGTTATTGCTTTCAGGGTATGTCTAAGCCTTGGGTTACCCTCAAACATGGGGCATATTTTCCTCCAGGCGGTCACCCCTCCCTCACTGGTGTACTGGCCCAATGCAGTCTCCAGGAAGAACACAGGGATGCCACAGCAGAAGAGAAACACACAGTAAGGAATGAGAAAGACGCCTGAAAACACAGACGTTTAAGAGGAAATTGGATTATTTTTCGGAAATTGTTTAATCCTTACTGATTATAAGACATGTCTCACATGCACACCTCCTTACCTCCTCCATTTTTATAGCACAGATAGGGGAAACGCCAAACATTTCCAAGGCCAATTATTTCACCAGCCATAGAGAGAATAAACTCCATGTTGTTTGCCCATTTTCCCCTGGGCTGAACCCCCTCCTCAGGATCTTGTTTATCTTGCCCATGTTCTTCTGCGGGGCCCCTTTTGCCTTCTTCTTCTGTCATAATCCCCCTAAAGCAAATGGAGAAAAAAAACATCTATTGCTTCCCATTTGCTTTTTACTGATCCGTATGAATAAGAAATGTTTTATGTAAAAAAAGAAAAAAAAGTTTTAATATTATCACTAAAACTAAACAAACTACCGTACTCTCATCTTTAAGGAATGCACTAATAAAACCTTCATACACCAAAAGACTGTTACTACAAATGTCCACACTCTCATTATTAAAGTAAATTTTCAGTAAGTCAAAAAGCAAACTTTTCCAAAGATTTACTACTTACCAAGTAGATGTTTGTGACGATCAAAGATAAAACTCCTAGTTTATCTGAGCAAAAGTTTGAAGACAAAGTCTTATTATACAAGGGGCGTGTCCGACAGGAGATAGGCTGTCCCACAGAAAATGGATTAAATTACATGCAGGGGCAGAGCTAGATGGGGGACCAGGGGTGACCATGGCCACCCTTAGCCAATCATAGGCTACCCTACCATGTATTTCCCTCTAATACAGATGGTGGCATTATATTAACAATTAAATATTAACAATTACTTGACACAAAAACACTGTGGTTAATTATTCACATCAATATACTAACATTAAAGATGATAAGTACAGAATTCAAGCAGAACTAGGTTTTGTGTTTTATGGGGTAAAGAGAAAATTATGTCTCTGCAAGTCATGAAGGAGTCTTCAGTGAAATCATTGGTAAAAAACGAATTAAATAAAAATAAAAATGTATTAAATAATCAATTATGTAGCTATTTGTACTTGTAACTATCAATTGTATTCAGAATGATTACTGATAAAAGTAGGTAAGTAATGACAATGGAAAAGATGTTCACCCAAAACTCAAACCTGAAAGAATTTTATCCACTATAGCTTTTATCTAGAAAGCTTAGATTTATTAATATATTCGTCTATTTGTTAGCAAAACTGTGGGGAAACATAGTTTGTCTTTAATTACAAAATATGGACTTTTTGACATCAATTTTCCTGTTGGAACATTGTAGATTGACCGAGAGGTTTTGGCACCTATCTGCTTTCGGCCACCCCTCAGTATACGTTGGTCATTGCCTGGCCAACCTTATAAAACTATTCTGGCTACGCCTCTGATTACATGATGTTCAAACGTTGTTTCCGACTGTTTGAACATTTAAAGTAAAGAGAACAATAAAAAGTAATTTCCTTAACCATAAGATATTTCTACACATGGGTGGTTCTGTTATGGCCCCTGTGCTAAAGACATAATACTTTGTTCCTTTTTTTTGCTTTACAAATTCTATTTAACTAATCATTTAAAAACAATAAGGTGATAATAAGGCTTCAGTGGTATTGAGATAGGATCCAAGTTTTCATCTACCGTTTTTTTATGCTCTACTTAAGGTGAATTTATCAGCTTTTCTTGAGTTCTTGAGTTCAGTTTCTTGAGTTCTTGACTAATTCAGATTTTATTTTATTTTTTTTAAACAGTAAATTTAACTTAAATTAAGTGAAATAATATAAAATGCATAAATCCTTAATGTATATTGACTTAATAACGACAATCCCACCCCCTTTAACGACCGACCTTCAGAATCATAGACAGGTTTCAGATATTACAGGCTAACAATGGGACCAAACAACACACTCATCGGTTTCCATTTCCATGTATCCAAGCCATACAAGGCATAGTCTATATAAAGACTTAAACTCACTGCGGATCTAGACATTTGAATTGAAAAAGCTTCCTGGGGAGGTGGCGAAACGTCTTCAAATCTTGGAAACCAAGTCCAGTGGATTTTTTATTTATTTATTTTTTTTTTTTTTATATAACTTTTACAGAATGACTTAATAAGAAATAGAATTTTAATTAAACATAATTAAATGGAAATTTTACTTTATGCAGCTCTCTTAATTTATTGGAATCCCTTGCCCTGTTTTTTATTTCATGCTTTTCTCTGCCCACTTGAAAATGCTGGCCCCCTCCTGGCTCCCTGGTACATTTGGTCTACAACCCCCACTGTTTCTAAATGATTTACAAAAATATTGATATAAAATGTAAAAGCACCAAACTACAAATTTTGACCTTTATAACTGCATTTTCTCATACTTTAGAACGCATATTCGAGTTTTAGAAGATAGGTTGGCTCTGAAGTTGGACCAATCAGTGTCACAAAAAAAAGTCTGATTCTCATCTGCGATTGTGTACCTGTCAGGAAAAAGCCAGGGTTTAACTTTCCCAAACACACCTCCCCTCCCCTCCCATTCTGGGATTTACGTGATGACGTATCCGGAAATAAAAGTAAACAACGGAACCTATGAAGAAAATGATAGTTACCTCTCCACATTCGTGCCGTTGCTGTTATTTTTTTTTATCATTTCGGAAGGGCAGACCTAGTTAAAGACAGATTGAAAGCTGGTAAAACTCATGTAAAGCTAAGAGGAAGCGCGCGCGGCTGCCGTTAATGAGAGCTAGCTCGGCATGGACGTTTTTTGTTTGAGTTTGTTTACATGATGGAATACCCTCACGACAATGGCTTAAACGCAGTTTATCGACGTTAGGTTTGTTTGAAACCCGAAGTGTCTGATTTCTCTCACTCAGTTCTGTGTCGTAGGTTTCGTCCTTCAAATATGTTACTTGTTTCTTTGTTGTTATTTCCAGATTTAGCAATGTTAGCCATCAGATCTTCAGACGAGGAGTCCGCTGAGATTGAGGAGATGGACACCTCAGAGCCAAACTGGTGCTGGTTCTATTTGGCGGAGTGTGGAGTCTGGCACATGTTTGAGGTAGTTTGGTTCTTACCAAAAAGATTAGGCCCAATTAGGAATTCCAAACTTTGATTCTTATGCTGCTTAAAGTTTACAAATATATCAATATGCTGAGTACAGGGTTTGGATCATGATATTGCACAAAAAGTGGCCCATAATTGCATTGTAACTAATAATAACTACAACTTCACCATAAATATTATTCTTTATTATTTTTTTCTTTACAAAAAAAATAAAAAATAAATACATTTTCTTACATTATTTTTGTCTTTTGACAGTTTACTTAAAGGTGACTAATGTGCATGATTCAACTTTTATTTGTTGAGCTAAAGACCTTTTATTTTTTTTATTTTGTACACACAAGTGTAAACAAAAAGACATTTCTTAAGAACAGCTCTCGAGACCAAGGTTCTTCAATGTTTTCCAGGCCAAGGACCCCAAACTGATGGCGAGATGGAGCAGGGACCCCCTAATTATATATATTATGTGAAATTGTGTTATATCAAAGTGGTCCTATAGTCACTCTATTACAGATGAAGTAATATAACCGAAGTACCCTGGGATTATTAAAGTATTTCTTATTCTGATTCCTGGTTGATGGGACAGGTGTTGTGAATTAAACGGTGCCCAGCTGGAAAGAGCTCCTGTGTGTCGCTGAATGTGTGCATTGATGCCTGAAAGACATCTTCTGCCTCCATTTATCTGTTTACTAACAGTGTGTTGATTTCATGTTAATGTGGATTTAAAGACATTTCAATCAGTGGAAAAAATAGCAGGGGGGAATATAAAAAAAAAAGGTCTAATCAACCAAAACTTTCACGACCCCCATGCAGTACCTCTGTGGTACCCCTAGGGGTCGTGGACCCCCTGTTGAAGACCTCTGCTCTAGACTATTTCATTTTTTAAAGTGCAGCCTTGATTAGGTAAGCAGCAGTAATTGAACAAAAAAATGTGATGAAAAACAATAATGTAAACATATGACTGTATAGTTACAAAAGATAAAATAAAGATAAAGCAGTTAAAAAATTCCACTTATAGCTGTAATGGACTTTTAGGTATTCTGCTAAATTCAAGATCTACACAAATAGAGTTATTAATTATAAAGTGGAGTACTATAGTGCTAAGTCAATACTTGGTTGACCTTGCAGTCGCATTGCAGCTGTAAAACCTGTAGGTTCTCACTCTACTGGCTTTTGACTTTTTTCGAAAAATGTCATTGCCAAACAGGCCGAGGTGGGAGATGTGGAGCCATCAATTCCTCTATATGTCGTGTATTCGTTCTTATCTTCTTTCTTATCTCCGTCAGATTGATCCCAGCGCGGCCTGCTCAGTGACCAGCGCTCAGATTGAGCAGTGCTACAACAGGAACCAGCGTGGGGTCATGGAATTCTACACAGCCAAATACACATACAGGCTAGACTTTTCGGGTAAGCTGAAATATTTTTAAGGTAACAAAGATAAGGATTTATTCAGTTGTCATAAATTTTCTCTTCTATAATACTTAAATTTGCGTTTCATCTCCAGTTATGCGGCAGATTAATGTGACGACAGGAAAACAGAGACCAATTAAACGCTCCCTGCACTCTGCTACTGGCTTTAGGTGAGATTAAGTCCATAAAGGAGAAATCCTAAAATTTTCTCTGCTCTTTTTTTATCAGGTAATCAAATATAATAGTTAAAAGTCAGATAAGCAACATCTCCTGGTATCAGATGAACTTGTAAATTAAACCAGAGCTTGCATCTTACTGTTACTTGATTTTCTAGCTTATAGTAAAATGATCTTGTGGCTCTAAATGCTATCTACCCTTGATTTTTTCTGTTAGGTTTATTTGTGATAATCTGGCCTTGCCTGTCCCCTGCCATTGGGAGAGAATCAATACGGATGAGCCCTACCAGGTAGGTTGAATTAAAAGAAACAGACATGAGGATGGAGGATAGAGAGCACTTAATACTTAACTCAAGATTAATTGATTGTTTAAGAAAAAGCTTTTGTATGAAAATCAAATGAAAATTGAAAGCAATAAACCTAAGAACCACTTGTCCTTTAAGAAATTCTTTTCAGACATTGGTATCGGGTTAAATACCTAAAACATGCACAGTAGTTGTCACAAGATTTCAAAGACAGAAGATAAGGAATACAAATACATTTTTAAGGTGCTGAAAACACTTATGAAATACAAAATTATTTTAAAGATTCACACCCAGTTCAGATGATTTTGGAAGCAGCGATTCAATTCAGTTGTATAATCCAGTTTTATCATGATCTTAATGTTTGTTTTATT